TGTGTGTGTGTGTGTGTGTGTGTGTGTGTGTGTGTGTGTGTGTGTGTGTGTTGTCTTTTGTTGGGGGTTTTTGATTGGGTGGGGATGGTGCAGTACTCTTCTTGTCTTTTTAAAAACAGAATCTTGGGTGGATCTCACTGTACGTGTAAAACACAGATCAAAGGCACAGAAAATATAAATTTGACGTTTCTTTTAGTTCAGTTTTAGTAAGGTTTTACGGCGCTCACAACTGCACAAGGTCATGTGAGCGTCAAGGGGAGGGTGTCAATAGAGAAGTCCAAACCGGGAATCAGGCTTACTCTGTTCACCTTTCTAGCTTCAACAGCACTAAGTCTGCTTCAACTACCAAGGCACCCCGGAACTAGCAGTTCACGTGAGAGTGACAAACATGCAAAAGAAGTAGAGGAAAAGCAGCCTTTTCTAAAGACACTACACTTTTTGGGGGGAAGTTCCCTAACCTTGGCATCAATTCGCCAACTAATTCTACATCTGACAACAGGCGATCCTCACATCCTCTGATCGCCAACATCTCGAGTTTTATTTAAGATAGAAGGGTATTATTTATTTATCCCCCCCCCCCTAAAAAAAACAAAAAAACGAGAAATAAAGTAGCCTAAAAAAAAAAAGAATAACTCGATATGCCCCAAAAAGTGAGAAGGTCCTGATTCCACCTTATGTGAGGCAGCGTTGTGGAATCAGGCTCTCGTCAAAATAATCAAAGAGAAGAAACTTGCATTTTTCCCCAGGTTTGTGAATTTTTATAAAATTTTTGTTTTCTGGCTTAACACCTTCCATACCCATTAAAGAACTCATTTCTGTGTGGATTTTTCTTTAAAATGTTGATTAAAGGCACAAGAAATGTAAATTTTCAGTTACCAAGGACTCTTAAGCTAAGGAAATAACTATCCTTTGGCGGTCATTTTCTCACTAATTTTACGTCTGAAAACAGGTGAACCCCGCCTCCTTCTTTCTCAAATATCTCGACTTGCATTCAAGATAAAGGGATAATTTTTTCATTCAAATAAAGACAAGTAAACAAGCTTTAAGGTGATACCAATAACACTACATGCTCAAAAATTGACGAGTGCTTGATTCCACCACGCTTCCTCAATTGTTATTATCATTACACTTTTTCTTTCTCTCCCCAACAACAACAACAACAATAACAACAACAGCAACTGCAACAACAACAAAAAGAACAACGACAACAACAACAACAACAACGACAACAGTAATAACAAAGACGACAACAACAACAACAACAACGACAACAACAACAGTAGCAGCCCTGGTGAAGAGCACGATTTCATGGCTCCAACAATGTCGAACGCCTAGGCTACCATAACAGCAGCAGCAGCAGCAACAACAACGACAACAACAACAACAACAACAACAACAGCAACAAAAACTACAGCGACTGCAACAACAGCAACAACAATCCTACAACAACCCTACAACAATTCCTCTCCCCATCCCCATCCTCCCACTACAAGGACATATTTTACCAGAACTCATCACTCTTTCTGTAGGTGTATATTTATCATTTCACTGACCTTATCTATTATCTACATCATTTCTTGTCCTGTAGGTTCATCTGCGGACTCTCCTCAAGGCTGTTTTTGTTTTCTCATGGTGTATTCTCCCCCGCTGGGGGGGAGGGCGCTGCCCGTCTCTCCCACACACTTGTGCTATTAATAATATCATGTGTGGCATCGTGGTGAAATCAACCCCTCGTCAAAATATGGAAATCAACGAAAAAGACGTATTATTGGGATTT